GTAGCTGCATCCTTCACCTCTGCCCACCAGATGATGGCACCTCCCCAGTTGTGACAACAGAAATGTCTCTGATGTTGCCAGCTGTCCCCAGTGGTCCAGGAATGGGTGAAGCTCACAGCACAGGGGTTGGCAGGGGGGTGCACTTGGGCCCCAAGAAGACTTTAGGGAAGCAATTGCTTCTGGCCAGGTGACGTGACTGCCTGGTGGTCAAGACCGTCTTCCAGCTGCGTTTCGCCAGTCCGCCCTCCCAGGCTGTTTGCAGATAGGAAAATAAACAGGTCCAGCCTTCATTACTCCTCTCCTGGAGCAAATGGCTGTTTGCTCTCGGTGAGTCATGGTTCTGAGGCCCAGGCTCCTGGAGAGCCCAGCACTGTGTCCAGGCTGCGTTCTGGTGACCGCTCACATGGACTGGTGACCAGGAGGCTGGTGGCAGCTACCTCAGTGTCAGCGCACTGGGCGGGTGTCAGCAGGCCTTGGTCCCAGCTTCCCGGAGGTGGGGGTCCCTGTGTGTCCGTGCCCCTGGCTGTCAGATAATTCAGTGAGTGCTAGAGAACAGCTCTAGCCCAGGTTACCTGTCAAAGATGTCACTACTTGTCAACTCACTGCGGCCTGTGTGAACTGCCCTGCCCTGCCCGGGAGGGCTCTCCTCGGGGCTACCCGTGGGCACCCACGAGGCTGGCAGGGCACTGGGGCTTCTGGGAGGAGGTGTGGTGTGGAGGGGCTGGAATTGCTGGGTGGGAGGAGACATGAGGCCAGGCTGCCTCGGGAACCTGCAGGGTGCTCCAAAAGGGGATCCCATGTGGCAGGAGGCCAAGGGGCAGTCAAGTCCGGAGAAGGCGCCTTGAAGGTCAGGTCCGGGTCCACACCATCATGGCGGCTCGGCCCGGGACGAGCTAGGCATGTCGACACAGGGCACATGGGTACAGGGGGCTGGGCAGTGGCTCTGACACCACCAGGGCCCAGGGCATGTTGAGGAGCAGTCCTGGGGGACGGGCAACAGTCTGAGGGTTGAGTCCCAGCAGGAACCGGGGGGTGGGGGGGGAGAGCACCCTGCACCGGTGAATGCCTGGGGCGGGGCTGCGACGCATGGGAATTCAGGGTCCCTGTGCAGAGGGTGTGTGAAGGCTGCCTGGTGGACAGAGTGGAAGGCAGAGGCAGGAACCGGACACAGCCCCCGACGGGCTGCACAACTACAAGCACAGAGGTCTGGGCCAAGCAAGGGGGTCCTGTGTCCCCCACAGCCCTGGCTCCTCTGGGAAGCCCCCACGCGAGGCGTCTAGAAGGCTCCTCTTCTGGGTGATGCCTCGGGCCCTGACCTCTCAAGCCACCCACAGCCCCTCAGGTGCCCGCGCACACTCATATGATGGCAGCGAAGGCCCGTGCCTGTGGCGAAAATAAAAACTGAACTGTTAGGGACTTCATTGCCCCTGCTGCAGCCCCACTGCCCTCACCTGGGCCTGTCCGGCCTCCCAACCCAGCTCCCTGCTAACCCCTCCTGGGGCTGCTGGCTCCTCTGGCTCCATCCAAGGTCCTAACACCTGGCCCTTCTCCCCCTCCCCCCCTTACTCCCCATCTCGCTCCCTCCTCCATCTCCCTCGCCTCCTGCCTCCACTTCTGAGCCCAAGGAACTTCCCCTCTGCTCCCTCTCCAGGCTCCTTCCAAGCCTCCTGCCTCCACTTCTGAGCCCAAGGAACTTCCCCTCTGCTCCCTCTCCAGGCTCCTCCAGACCCCTCCACGTGTGCCCCGGGTGTGAGCCTCAGGACAGGCGTCCCGCCGATGCTCTCTGCCCCCAGTGCCAACCTGGCAAACACAGTGGGTACTGAGAAGTGGGAGCTGAATGGAAGGGGCGCAAGTGTCCCACAGATCACCCAGATGCCTTGTGAGTTAGAGAAAGAGAAGGCCCTGCCTAGCCCAGCTGGTGGGGGTAGGGATGGGGGGTGGAGGACAGGCCCAGCCTTGTGAGGAGGTGGGGGCAGGGGACTCTCCAAGGACCCAGCAGAACCAGGAGGCCCCAGGATCCAGCGGGGCTACGCGATAAGGACAGACAGTTCCTTGCTGGGGCCATGGAGGGGAGAGGTGGGGCCCCAGAGCAGGCAGCTCCAGCTGAGATCACAGCCGTGAGGCCCCTGGGGGCGGCTGCAGGGCCAAGCCCCCCACACCCCTCGGAGCCCATCCTGCAGACCATCCATCCCAGCAGCGGGCTCTGCGGCATGGGGGTGCATCCCGCAGCCGGGCAGCCTCTGAGCACACAGGGCTCTGTCATCCCAGGAATGTCTTTGATCAGGTTTACACTGAGAGGAAGCAGAGCAGGGCCTCTAATCCGTTCCCACAGTCCCAGCGCTGGCCCCCAGCCCTGAGCCACACCAGGGCCCAGCACACAATAGCCAGGGGGCGGTGGGCGGGCAGCTCCAGGCTCGGGCCTTGAGGCCCACATCCGGGGGCACTGTCCCCGCCACTCTCCACTCTTGAGGAGGACTGGGAAGAGAACTCTGCAGCCCTCAACTGTCGCTGCGGTCAGCCCTGAGCCTGTCAAAGACAGCAGCGACCATCAATCCTCTTCTACCTCAGCTCAGGCAGCTGGGACAAGTCTCCACCGCAGGCTCCTGAGAGCCCAATGGTCTGACCCCAGGACCCCCACCCTGGAGCCCGGGCCGCCCAAGCACGTGAGGGCCAGTTTCCCTTCCCAGCTGCCATCACGGGAAGAGAACTGCTCACGTTCATTGAGCAGACGGGGCACCGGGCACGGGTTAGTGTCCAACATAAAGTTTCTCCCTAAACAACCCTCTTGAAACAACCCTCCCAGGGTAGGCGACAGGCAGGGGCACACCAGTGAGTGGGCCCTCCGGAGCCCACCTTCCCACGGGCGTAACTGTCCCCTTTTCCGGGTCAAGGGTCAGCAGACAGGCTTCACTGGCTACCCGGTCTCTGTCCAACCTCAGCCGCTGCGCAGAGCACCGCAGGCCATGGCAAACGAATGATATGGCTGCGGCCAGGCCAGCCTTCTCCACCGAAAAGGCAGCAGGCTGAGTATGGGCTGAGGGGGCTGGCTTTCTGGTCCCTGTGGTAGAGGAGAGGTCAAGGGTCACACAGCCGGGAATGCGTCCGGGGCCAGGGCGGTCTCGGGAGCCTGCACTCCCGTCCATCCTGGGCTGCCTCGGAGAGGAGAGGGCGCGGCCTTCAACAGTGGGCTTGAAAACACACAAAGCCTGCGTCTGACTCCACCCAACGCAGCACACACTGCAGCCCAGACAGAGAAAGGGGCCTTGTCTGTGTCCTGGGGCTGCCGTAACCAATGACCACAAACTGGGTGGCTTAAAACAGCAGCAGTTCTCACAGTTCTCGAGGGTGGTCCTCTGAAATCAAGGTGTCGGGTCCCTGCTCCCTCCCAGCTCCCAGCCGCTGCGGGCACTCCCCTCC